CCCCGCCCCCCCCCCCCCCGCGGGGCCCCCCCCCCCCCCCCCCCTTTTTTTTTTTCGGTCGCACCCGGTTTCCCGTAACTTAAACCCGGGCCCTTCTCGGGAAACGGGAGCGTTATTAATAGGACGGTCCGGGCAGCGGGAGTTGGTGTTGCTTCCAGCACGGTGAGGTTTGCTGTTGTGATCCGCGGCGTGAGGTCACGCGTGTTGCCGTGACGGGAGCGCAAAGGGGGGAAAAGTAACTTTTACGCTGTTTTACTGCTGCCCACGGAGGATCGCAGCCGGGGCCGGGCGCTGCCTGCCGCCCCTCAGACCTCGCGGCAGTGAAACTGGGCTGCGCGGCTTCCCTCGCTGGGCGCAGTGCCGCGGTTTCCCCGCTCACGCTGCCGTCCCGTTGGTTTGGGAGCTGGTGAAACTGCTAGGCAATCGTGAATTAACAAATCACGCTAAATGTAAAGCTGTTGTCCCGCAGGTGCCCCTTCCCGAGGCCGAGGGTGCGCAGGCCTGTGGCGTGTCCCCGTGCCACATGGCGGGGTGGCTCCGTGCTGCGGGAGCCGAGGCACTCAGGGGGTTAATTCGCTCTTGCTCAACAGTAGGGAAGATTGCCGCTGCTCCCTTTGATTTCACGTAAATTACCGGTGGATGACCCTGGCTCATCCATGCTCGTTTTGTGTGTCCTGAGCACCCACTGGTGGGGCTGAACCAGCCCCGGGCTTGGTGCTCCCAGGCAAAACCCTCCGGGACGCCGTGCTCGGCCGACGGGTGCGTTGTGTTGTGACGCGAAGGCAGGGTGACGAGCATGTGTGTCCCCTCCAGGCTCTGCTGATGGAGACCGCCAAGCTCAACCCCATCATCCGGGATGTCTACGCGGCCGCTGGCCGTGTCCAGCAAGCACCGGCCACCGCCTCGGCGCGGAGGGGCAGCGGCTGCCGAGAGCTCATGGTCAAGCTGACGGAGGGGCAGTACGTGCTGTGCCGCTGGACCGATGGGCTCTATTATCTCGGAAAGATCAAAAGGGTAAGGTGGGCACCCAAAAGGGTAAGGTGGGCACCCAGAGTGTAGCTAGCGCCGTTCCCTGGGTCAGCTCGTGGCTCGGAGGAGTGCTGGCCTGGGCTGCAACACGTCTTTGGTGATCGGGGCATTTTGGGTTGACATCCTGCCCCTGGGTATCACACCCCAAACCTGACTTCCCGCAGCCCCAAGAGGCAGGGCCGGTCACCAGGGAAAATGGGAAAGCACGGGGAATGGGAGCTGACACCCGGCGATTCTTCCTGCTCTCTCCCCGCAGGTGAGCGGCTCCAAGCAGAGCTGCCTCGTCACGTTTGAGGACAACTCCAAGTACTGGGTCCTCTGGAAGGACATCCAGCATGGTGAGTGCCGCCCCGTCCTCCCTTCCCACCGCCGTGCCGGCGGGTCCTTCCTGGCACCGGGGAGAGGTGGCCGTGCCTCGCGCATCTCCGACTCTGCCATCCCCGTCCCGCAGCCGGCGTCCCCGGGGAGGAGCCCAAGTGCAACATCTGCCTGGGAAAGACGTCGGGCCCCATGAACGAAATCCTCATCTGCGGGAAGTGCGGGCTGGGTGAGTGCGGGCGCGTCGCCCTGGGGGCGAGGGTCCGGCCTGCCTGGCGGCGCTGATGCCAAGCCCTCCCGCAGGTTATCACCAGCAGTGCCACATCCCGGTGGCGAGCAGCGGCGAGGGCCCGCTGGGGACACCGTGGTTCTGCCGCCGCTGCATATTTGCCCTGGCTGTGCGGGTGAGTGGGGCTGCCCGCGGTCACCAGCTCCTCGTGCCGCCTGCCCTCGGCACGGCGGTGCAGGATGTGACCCCCTGGCTGGCTGTGCTGACCCCCGTCCCGCTTGGTCCCGCAGAAGGGGGGTGCCCTGAAGAAGGGAGCCATCGCCAAGACGCTGCAAGCCGTCAAGATGGTGCTGTCCTACAACCCCGACCTGCTCGAGTGGGACTCCCCGCACCGGACCAACCAGCAGCAGTGCTACTGCTACTGTGGGGGCCCTGGCGAGTAAGGCCCTGCCCGCCTGCCCGCTGGGAGGGCTGTTGCATTTGGGTTTGTGATGAAAAGCATTTGCAAAAGGCGGGTGGGATCAGGCCTGGGGAGTTTTTTTCCCCAGGAGAGATGTCCCCAGCTTGCAGGGCAGTGCCCTCGGGCCGGCGGCTTTGCTGCCCACGCTGCCTCTGCTACCTGGGTCTCCACTTGCTCCCGGAGGCACCATTTGCACCCACCTCCATGGCTGCGGAAAATACAAGTTAGGGCCCAACTTTCTCTCCCTGGCTGGGGGGGTCCGTGCCTGGGAGGGGGCCGGGGCAGTGGCTGCTGCGCGCTGCCCTCGCCGTCACCCGCCTCCTCTCCCTCCCCAGGTGGTACCTGAAGATGCTGCAGTGCTACCGCTGCCGGCAGTGGTTCCACGAAGCCTGCACCCAGTGCCTCAGCGACCCCATGATGTTCGGAGACCGGTACGTCCCTTCCGGACTTTGCTGGGCTGGTGCTGGACGTTGGAGCTGGCTTCCCAGGGGGGCTCGTGCATGGATGCGTCCCCTGTCTGTATCTCCCCAACCCGGCTGTGGCACCGATGTGGATCAGCCGCCCTGGGGGCGGGCGGGTGGCCCCGTGAGCCCCGCTCCTCCCAGCCATGCCGTCACCATCGGCACCCGGAGCACTGTCCCCACCCTGACCTGTCCCCAGGCCCTGCATGGCTGCGGGGATGACCCCCACCCCCAGCGCTCCCCTCCCCGCTGTTTTCCAGGTTCTATGTCTTTTTCTGCTCCGTGTGCAACCAGGGACCTGAATACATCAAGCGCCTGCCCTTGAGATGGTAAGAAACAGCCCTGGCTCCTTTGGAATGTGCCGGGGTGGCCGTGGGGCACCGGGCTGGCCGGTGCCCGGTGCTGCTGAGCCCTTGCCGTGGGCCCAGCCCCAGCGGTGGGTTTGAGCAGCGTGAATTCACGCAGCACCTCCCGCTCATCCCAGCGCGGCCCTGGGCTGGGGCCTTTGCTCAGCCGCAGCCCCAGGCGTGCAGCTCCCTCTGCCCGGCCCCGCGGGGCTGTTTCCCAGGGAAGCTGTTCCCAATATGCCCCAAATCTACTGTTTGTCTGGGAGCCAAGGTGCACGTTTGCCAGAAGATAACCGCAAAAAGCAATCGGGTCACAATTCATCAAATTCTGTGATTAAATACAAGTTTACAAGTGGTACCTTGTAGTGTACCTCGATAGTCTGAAAGCACTTTATAGAGTGTATGAATTGCCAGCAGCGCAGCTTTTCCCTGCTGTTCCTCTTGTGCTCGGCCGTGTCAGACGTGTTACTGGTGCTAACGGGCTGCTGGGACGCGGCTGCCTCGGGGACATTGCACCGAGCAGCGCAGCAGGCTGGAAGAAGAAGAAGGGAAATCCTGCAGGATACATTGCTTGGCTTTCATTTTCAGAGACGCAAGTGTAAAATCCCACAGGACAGACCGAGTTGTTAAAATAGACAGTGTATTTTCATGTGAATAAGAGCCATCCTGCTCCCGTACCTAACTGCAGCAAGAGCACACAGCTGGGGCTTATTAAAAAGCTGGAAAACTGGGCATTTGTCCTGGGAGCGGCATGTCCTCCAGCTCCTGGGCTCGGGGGTCTCGGCGTTTGGGGTTCCCCCTGGCTGTGGGCAGTGTCCCACCCCTCCCCAAAGCCCAGGGAATGCCATCCTGGCTGTGGCAGCATCCCCTGGGATGTGTGTCCAGGCCAGGGTTGCTTCCCCCGTGGGGTGTGGGAATGGTCCTGGCTTCCAGTGAGAAGGTTTTGGGAGGGTCGTGCTGGGGGCTGCGCTGGAGTGGTGCTGGTGGAGCAGAACATTGTGGCGGGTACCATCCTGCTGGGGAGAAGGTGGGCTGCTGACCCTCTCCCCCTCTCTGCTTCCACAGGGTGGATGTCGTCCATCTGGCCCTCTACAACCTGGGCGTACAGAGCAAGAAGAAGTACTTCGACTTCGAGGAGATCTTGGCCTTCGTGAACCACCACTGGGATCCGCTGCAGCTCGGGAAGGTAACAACGCGCAGCCCGGGTCGGGCTGGAGAGCAGCCGCGGGGAGGGAGAGGTGCTGCCGGGGATGTAAGTCACGGCCGGCTGTTCCCGAAGCCTCAGCTCAGAGGGACCGGGGGCCGGGCCCCCCCTCCCCCGTGGCAGCCAAGCCCCTGCGGCTGGGGCAGGTTGGCCGGGGAAGGGCAGTGCTCGCGGTGAGACGGTGGGGCAGTGAGCTCTGCCCCTCGGTTGGGCTGGCTTCCCCTCTTGGCAGCCGTCAGCCCCGAGGTGTGTTTGTGTGTTGCTTGTTGGGAAGGGGTCGGAGCTTTGGGAGACCGTGACCCGAGCTGGCTGGTCCTCGGCCGGTCACCTGCGGGGAAGGAGCTTTCAAACACCTGCCTGGTTTCTCTGGGTGGGCAGGAGCACCCGGCCCGGGGCGTTGGCACCCGCTGGGAACACGTGGCAGCTCCTGCGTGCTCTTCACCCACCCTGGGTGGCGTCAGCGGTGGAGGGTGCTGCTCCCTGAGCCGGGAATGGTGTCAGCCCCCGGGCACGGCCCTGGGCAGAGCTGAGGGACCTTTCCTGGGCCCTTATTCCTGGGGTGGGTGGCGGGGGGTGAAGGGTGGAAAGGGACGTGCCCAAGTGTTGGCAGTGCCACCGTGCTGGCATCCCCTCTCCAATGAGCTTGGGCATCTCAGCAAAACCCCGGTTTGTGCAGCACTCAGCATGGGCAGCTCCTGCTCAAAATTAGCTTAAACACCTTCCTCTGCGCTGGGATTTCCCTTTGTTCGGGTGTTGAACCTGACAAGTTTCCCGGTTGGAGCTAGAGCCGGGAGAAGTGCTAAAAGCAAGGCATCTTGGAAACCTGTCACGGCGTCGGGATGAATGGGTTCCCTGCAGATGCCTCCCTCCCCTGCACTGAGGGCGGCCAGTGCCAAACCTGGGCGGCTCTGGGCTTTGGCATCCATCACTCCCTGACCTTGGGCAGGAGCTGAAACCCGGAGTTCGGGTTCCCCCGTCTGTTTGGTTCTTGCATAACCGCAGCGGGTGCCGAGCCCTGCCTGACCTCCGCCATCTCTCCGCAGCTGACGGGCACCCCGGTCTCCGAGCGCGGCCCCCACCTCCTCAACGCGCTCAACAGCTACAAAAGCAGGTGGGCCCCGGGCACGGCGGGCGAGGATGGGAACAGGACGGGATGCAGGATGCTCCTGTGGCCCCCCTGGCTGAGGGTTGTTTCCTCCCCTCTGCCGCCCAGGTTTCTGTGCGGGAAGGAAATCAAAAAGAAGAAATGCATCTTTCGCCTGCGGATCCGCGTCCCGCCGAACCCCCCCAGCAAGGTGCTGCCAGAGAAAGCCCCCAGTGTGGGTGAGAGCGGCTCCTGCGAGCTGAAGAAGAGGGGAAAAAGCAAATATGTCCATAAAGACAGGTGAGTGGCCAAATTCGCCCGGGCACCCCCCCGCTGCCACGCTCCCCTGGGGCGGCCTGGCAGCCTCACCCCCGCCTTGCTTTGCAGCCTGCTGCCGCGGCAGCTCCAGCAGCAGAAGCGGCGAGCGGCGCGGCGCAAAAGGGCCAAGTTCCTGCTGGAGGACGCCATTCCCAGCGTGAGTCCTTCACCCCCTCCTCTGTGCGACCGCCCCAGGCTTTGGCAACCGGGTGGGACCCTGCAGCGCCCATCCCCGCGAGGTTCCCCTGCTCCCGTGGGCAGGGAGAGCCCCCGGCCCTCGCCCTGGGGTTTGCAAATGTTCTGTGCCAAGCGTGCTTCCCAGGGGCTGCGGGGCCACGGGAGGGAGCGCGGTGGTGCTGGGGCAGAGGGTGCTGATGCCGGGGCCGCGGGCAGCACCGCTCTGCTTGGCAGTGACGAGTGCCCTTGTTTTCATGGGGCAGAGTGACTTCACCTCCGCCTGGAGCACCAACCACCACCTGGCCAGCATCTTTGACTTCACACTGGATGAAATTCAGAGCCTGAAAAGGTCCGTGCAGCCAGGCCCGGGGGTGTGGGCAGCAAGGGGGGGCAGTTTGAACGCCCAAGTGTGAGGCAGGGCTGGAAAACCTCTGGCTGTGGGCACATGCGAGACGGAAGCAGGAGCAGCTGGGGAGGGGGGTGGCCATGGTGCCGCTTGCACCAGGCTGGGGCTGACGCTGCCTCCCATCCCCAGTGCCAGCTCGGGACAGACTTTCCTATCAGATGTGGACTCCACAGATGCCGCCAGCACCTCGGGCTCGGCCACCACGAGCCTCTCCTACGAGTCCAGGTGAGGGCTGTGCCCCCTCACCCCCTTCCAGAGGGGCCCTGGTGGCATGGCCAGGGGGGCGAGGGGCTGCCCCTCTCCCCCCACAGCACCCTCCTGTCCTGGCACAGGGATGTCCCGCATCGGGGAGCCTTTCCTCCCTGCCTCCTAAAACGGGCTGGTGGTCCCAAAGCGGCGCTGCCTCGCTGGGCATGCAGGGTCAGAGCCATCGGTCCTTGCTGGGCTCGCCCCAATTCTCGGCGTGCTCCCTCCAGGCTCGCAGGGCGGCAGGCACAGCCAGCACGGTGGGGGGCACCTTTTGGGTACTGCCCTCACCCCTCCTCTGTCCCTGCGGGAGGCCGGGGGCCAGCCGCAAGCGCAAGCTGGCAGCGCCAGCCTACGCCTCAGCGGGGGCGAAGAGGAGAGGCGGGGAGGCGGGCGGGCGCCCGGCCGGGGGCACCCCCGAGGGCAGCGAGGCAGCCTGCGGCCCCGACCGCCCGGATGACGGCATCGACAGCCACACCTTTGAGAGCATCAGTGAGGATGACTCCTCGCTCTCCCACCTCAAATCCTCCATCAGCAGCTACTTCGGGGCGGCGGGCAGGCTGGTCTGCGGCGAGAAGTACCAGGTGCTGGCGCGGCGGGTGACGCTGGAGGGGAAGGTGCAGTACCTGGTGGAGTGGGAAGGCACGACCCCCTACTGAGCCCCGCCAGCCCCCAAACCTCTCCCGGAGCCAAACCAGAGGAGATCGGGATGACGGGGAAACCCTTGCCATGAAGCAGAGAAGGGGCGCTGACCCGCGGGGAGGCTGGGACCCCTCCGTGCTTGGGGGTCCTGGCTGGTGCTGGCTCCCCAGGAACCACCATGGGTGGAGGCAGCGCCCAAGCTGGAACCATCAGTGCTGCTGCCCAGGGGTGAAACCTGCAGCCTTGCCGCTGTATTTTTTTTATTTTAACAATTGTTATTTTATTGGCTGTGTATATGCAAAGAGCGTGGCCCAGCTGCGCTTTCCTGACGGAGCCTTTGGCTGAGCCCGAGGCACCATCACGGCAGTGGTAAGAGCAGCGAGTGGGTCTGGCCTTTCCCCCAGGCTGGTGGCTGTGTCCCGGAGGCAGAAGGGTCCCCCTGGCATGGCCAGGAAGCCCCTTTGGGGGGGCACCCCACAACCTGCTCGTGCAGACGGACGTCGTGCCGGTGCCCCATGTCCAAGCCTTACAGAGCAGACTCGAGGGGGTCCTGCTGCTAAAGCAAAAAGCACCTCCCTCGCCCATGCTTTCACAGCCCGTCCCTGTGCCCATAGGATACGGTGGGCAAGTCTTGCCAGAGCCAGTGTACAGGGGCTTTTCCTCCTCCTCATAAATCCATTCATTAAAGGAATGTGGTTTGTTTTAAATGAGGGGAAAACACCCCATAAACGGCCCACGTGTGGCTGGCTTTCACAGCCGCAGGGCAGACGTACGTGGTTGCTCCTGTCCCACAACCTGGACAGCGTGTGATGATGCATCAGCTTCGTTTCTGTGTTCTGACAATCATGGTCTTGGAAGAGATCAGCCAAAAGATACGCCCTTGCCTTAAAACCACCGCGGGCATTTCACAGACTGGAGCCCGAGGCCTTTATTCCTGCAGGAAACCTCGTCCTGAACGTGCCAAATGAGCAGACAAACCAAAAAGGCTGAAACGGACAGTGGGGGCATGGGGAAGGGGCTGTGCCAGGGTCCCCGCGGCCATCCGCGTGGCCTCGTGGCCGCACCTCGCTGGAGAGCGGCCGTGCTTTCTGTTACTGGCCTAGCGTCGATGTTTGTGAGCGCGTGGGGTCGGTTTGTCTGCAGAAGAGAAGGAGCAGCCCCCTTCTTTAACTAAAGCAATACTGCCAGGTTGTTCAGGAGCAAAGCAGTTGTCTTTTTTTAAAAAAAAAATTCTAATATCATCAGACTTATTTGTTAGATTTTTTTCTAAGAGAGATATATATATATTTTTAATGTTGTCCTCCTCATCTCTCCCCCATCACCACCGTGGCTGTCCTGTGGGGCCGGAGGGTGGGCGATGCTGGGGGGTCTGCGTGGTCCTGCTCTGTCAGCACGCCCCGTTCCCATAGCCGCATCGTTGTTCCTATGTGCGCTTGCAGGGTCTACCAACCGGAGGGTGAATTGAGAAGGTTGTTTTATTGAAAAAGTACTTCAGAAAATTCGTTAGTGTAATCGGCACGAGGGAGCAGGTGGCATTTGCAAACCAGAGGCCAAAGCGTGGTCCTTGAAAATAAACCTCTGCTTCAGCTACTGCTGAAATAACGTAGTGGGACACCCATGAAGGGGGGGTTTGCTGGTTTGTTTTAATCCATCTAGCAGGCACCAGGCCTTGGCGCGGCTGCACAGTGACGGTGCCTCGCGTGGGGCTGCGGTGCAGAGCAGCAGCTTCTCTGCAGCCCCGGGAGGCACCCGTGTGGCTTGGGCAAGGCGCGAGCTGCTTCGGTGCCCGTACTAGGAGCCTGAATATTTGGCACAGCGAGTAAAAGCATTTAAACTCCTTTCTGATGAGTTGCCCGGTGTCGTGCAGCCAGTGTTGTGCTCGGTGGAGAAGCTGTTAGCCGCTTGTGCGGGGAGAGGTCTGGAGAGGAGGCTCCGTCCAGCTCCGTGAGATGGTTTGAGCCGAGCAGGGTCAGACGTGCCTTGGGGAGAGGTGCTTGGCACCTCGGGGGCCGCATCTCGGCTCATCCGGAGGGGAGCATCTCCAGAGGGGGCCTGTCATTTTGGGAGACGTGCTGCCGGGACCCCCGTCCCTGGCAGGGAGGGGTGCAGCTCCCGCAGCCAGCCGGGTCGCTCCCCGTCCTACCTTGGCTTGTCACCAAAGGATCGCTTGGTGCACTTCCCTATCACGAGTGCCTGTGAAGCCCTTGTTGTCCGAGTTGCTGCCTGGGGGGGCTGGCAGGGGCTGCAGGGAGCCGTGCCAGGGCCAAGCAGGGTTATTCCCGCGGGATGCGCCGATGGGCATTGCACTCATGGGAGCACCCACAACGTCTGGCCCTGGTTCTTCTCCTCTCTCCCTCTCTTCTCTCCTGGCCTTTTGCAGAGAATTGAATGTGGAGCCTTTAAAACTATTTTTGTTGCAGAGTATATTTTGCATTAGCTGTAATAGATATTATAATGACTCTGTGCACCTTCTAAAGACTTATGAGTTCAGGTTGCTGCTTGTAATAACCAACTCTTGTTATACCCAAGTTGTAATTAATATGTCTGATGTACAATTAAAAAGTCTTTTTTTTTTTTTTTTAACATCACTGGTTCTTTGTGGCCTCAGGATTATTGAGTCTGGGCGCTGGGGGTCGGCGTGTGGTCCTGGGCAGGCGCCCAGTGCCTGCCGCGATGCAGCTGGTGCTGCTGGGTCGTGCTCCATGCCAGGGTGAGGCGTGCCCTCGGCCGGAGAGACGCTGCCGTGAAGCATGGGAACGGCAGAAGGATGCGAGGGGCGAGGGTAGGTGGGGGACAGGGGCACCTCTTGCAGTGATGGGTTTTGTGGAGAGGGGCTGCCTTCGCTCGCAGTCCTACTGACCGGTCCCAAATGGCCCTCACCCACTTAATCTTAGCCTAAAACTTGCACATTGCGCAACGTAGCCCTGACAGGGCTAAACAAAGCTTAGCTTTGGCTGCAGTGCAGGCCTGGCCTGGGGGTGCTTGCGCTCGCTTGGTGCGCTTTGTTCCTTTTTGCCAGACAAGGTGCCCAGCTGGGATCCTGCTTCGTTGGATTTACCACTGAAAAGCTTCCTGCTCTCAGAGCCCAGACCATTTTCCCTCTTATTTTCTCCTTCCTGCACCTGTGAGCCTGCCCCGCACCACCTCTGATGGAGCCACGCGAGCCTGCGGGCACAGCTCTCGATACCCGCAAAGCGCCCTGCACCGCTTCTCCACGAGCCCGAGACGAGCGGGTCAGAGCCAGCAGAGCATCGCTCGGCACCGGGCTGGAGAGAGTCGCTGCAAACCCACGCCGGGCCCTTCCTCCTGCCCAGCTCACCGTGGACGCTGCCCCGCAAACTGACAACATGCATGCCTGCCCAGGTAAGAAATGCTCCTGTTTATTCCCTTCCCGGTCACATAAATAGCTCGATATTGTTCCATAAGTTACATCCCATTAAACTATTAACATGAGAGTCTTTTTACAAGGTTAAACTTGGCCCAGGTAGAAAGCCAGCGTTCAGGTGTGGGTAGGGGATGCGGGGCCGGGGCTGTGCTGCCCCGCAGCCGGGCGATGCCCTGATCCTGCTGGCACGTGGTTTCCCTGAACTGGCAGTGGATATTGCCCAGCTCAGCCCAGCTGTCCCAGGCTTGGCAGGGTCAGCGCACGTGCTGCTTGTGGCTCCTGGTAAACGCTTGCGGCGTCTGCTCAAGTGTGCTGTTTCCTTGGAGTTTGTACGACTCGACCCAGCACGTTGCATGACAGCAGGAGAGGGCATGAGCCGGCGTATCGCCAGGTGCCCGGCCGTGTCCTGCTGTCTCCGGGCTGGGGAAGCAGGAGGCAGAGCGGGGCAGGATGCTGCAACAGCCTCTGTGGGGGAGCAGGGGGGCCAGGCAGGGCTTCAGGCACTGGCTGTGGGGACACGCGGCGCTGGAGGGGCTGCTGGGGGCTGCCAGGCCATGGCTACCAGCTGGCACTTGCTGCTGGGGGCCTGAGACAGCTCCCAGATGCTGCAGCGTCCTGACGCAAGCATCTCTGTGTATCCTCATCTGCAATGCTGCAACAGCCCTTGGTGCACGTAGCCCTTCCCTGCTTTGGCCTCTGCCGCCTTGGGGCTGCTCGGTGCTCCCTGGGGCACAGGGTCAGGATGAGGGGGGGATGTTTGGAGTGCAAACGAAATTCCCAATCCCAAGCTTCTGTGTTATAGCAAACCCACGAAGATATAAGCTGCCTCCCCACGAGTGCATAAATCCTGCCTGCACACGGAGACCAGCGTGGCTCAGCACCTTTCACCTGGTCTCCCCAAACGGACGTGCTTTCTGCACTTTTCAGTTAGTCCTGTGGGACGCTTTCCTCTATCCATTTGAGGTAGAGAGGGTTTCCTTGGTCAATAGGCAGGCTGATGATTTCAGGAATTTCAAAGGGATGGATGGATCTAAAGTGGAAACAGACGCAGAGGAACAGTGTCACCGACAGCCCCGCGACAGAACAGACCCGCTCCCGCCCGCAGGCGCAGGAAGCAGAGGTCTCCGCTCCCAGCGGCGCGCGCCAGCCCTGCCCCACGCTCTCCACTGACTTCAAAGCACCCGCATCTTCTTTTTGCCGCGTGAGAATTTTCCTTCGAGTTTGGGGTTTACCACAGCCAGCAGCTGACTGCCGGGGGCCCTGGCCCAAAGCTGGCTGCACTCACCGCTCGGTGCTCAGGAACGCAGGAAATCCTGCCAGGAGGCAGCCAGGGAGTAACCTCTGTTAGGAGAAGGAGAATCCCTCCTCGTACCCAGTACGGAGGGGCTGGTTGAAGCCCAACATTTGATATTCCTGCCAACCTTTTTCTTTGCTGATGCTTTCTCTGTTTTTTTGGGGTTGTTTTTTTTTGGCTTACATCAGGAGCACTTAAACCCTCTCTGGGTGGGAATGGGCTCAAGGAACCTGATGCCCAAAGCCTGAGCGTGAGATGGCAGCATACCTTGGATAGGAAACCCAGTGCTCCCACGGAGCCAGAGCCTCACCTGACGTAGTTGGACAATTCACCTATTTTGGATGTCCTTGTTTTCACTAACTGTGGAGAGTAAAAAAACCAAAGCAAAACAAAAAAAACAGGGGAGAAGTAAAGGGGACGGAGCAATCCTGCATGCACTGTTCCACTGCACCCATCCAGTATGGCTGGCGCCCAGCGGCGCGATAGGAGCCCTTCCTAGGCTCTCCCCCGGGGGATGTCCCCTGTGGTGGCAGGGTGAGGGGCTGAGCAGGGCTGCCGCCCCCAGCCACCACTGCCATGCCCACAGGCAGGTGCTCAGGGTCCCTGGGTGCCGTCCCAAATCTTGGGCAGGTTGGTGCCGCCCTCCCCGAACCACCCTGCGGCCCCTTTTGGCTGGGGCTGTCTGGGATGGGGATTTTCATGATGTGGGGAATTATCACTTACCAGCAGTATTTCTGTGGATTCTTCCAGTTCCCCTTTCCAGAAATACCTAGATTTAAAAGAAACTAAGCATCAGTAAATACAGCCCTGGGTGCAGCCATGCCGATTCCCCTGGGGGGCTTAGTTTCCCTGCTTGGTGCTTTCCGCACGTGGCCGTTCCTTTACAAAGTGGTGCTCAAGAAGCATCACTGGCCCCAAAAGTCTGCTGTGCATATGATTGAGCACCCTGGATTTACAGACCAGAGCCTCCTTGGCTGTGCCAACCTCGAGAGAGCTGCCCGGGGGGGATGGCAGGGCAGCTGCCCGGGGGGGACGGAGCTGGGACCAGGGTGGCCGTGGGGGGCTGCGTGGTGGTGGCCCCGCTCCAAGCAGCAGCCGGGGGACGATGCCTGCAGGGACCGTGGCGTGGCTGCAGCTGCGAGGCTGAGCACGGCAGCATCATGCTTTTTTCCTCTCTTTTCCCGCAGGCGAGGGGCGG